GGGGGGGGGGGGGGGGGGGGGGGTAGTTTCTTCAGGGTTGCTTGAAGTTTAAAGTGCACTAAAACAATCTTTAGACATACGCGGCATTGCTCCATCAAGCTTTTTCCCATTACAGAAAATTCCCCACTGCTGCCCCCCGTAGGAGTCTGGGCCGTGTCTCAATCCCAATGTATGAAGATAATAAATTCGGTCATTGTGGTCGGACTCTATTATGAATTTCTGACCACATTCTGCATAGGGCCCTCTTATCTCTTCCTTCTCCGAAAAAGAAAAAATTTAGACTTAACATTTTCTCCCTTTTACTACCTAACATCTGCCACATGACCTTGTTGATAAAATTAATCTAAATTCCTCTCTTAGATTGGCAAAATTAATGTTCTTTCCTACTAAAGACATTGTGTATATAGTAATTCGTCAAGATTATTAAAAAATAAACAAATAAAATAACAAAATTTCAACAAAGCTACCAAGTAGGTATAAACCATCAATCAAACATTCCATAACTACTAGATACTATCTTAAAAGTTGAAGCACACAAGTCAAAGTTCATAAATTAGCTTGGCACTATATTCATTAACCTATGAATCTCTAGGTCATTCTTATCATACCACTATAAACCAAGAAGCCTACACTCACAGGTAGCAAAAACCCAGCTATCATCCAGCAATCATACCAGCTCCACTACAGAACCAACAGATCAATTCTCTCAGTGAAACTTCTTCATTACCTGTGTGCTTTTGACTAAGCAAATTGCCATCAAAGCACTTATCTCGCATTTTAAATCTCAACATTCTTCAATGTGATTTTGCTATGGAAATATATGGACATGTTTTATGAAGCTTCTCTGGACATCTTATGTGGGGATATAAGTTTTTTCTTTTTTTTTTTGGCACCTATAGGAAATTAGCGTGTTTCCAAATATAAATTTTGTTTTAATAGAGCATAACCCGTGCTGTCCCGTTTAACGGCAATAAAGGAGATGCCGGATATGATGTACAGATATCTATATATTCATGTGCTTAATAAATACAACCCTTCTTATACACTTCCCAATCGTATTCTACGAATTCTACTAAAAAATCGGTAAAAAGATCTCTTTTCTCTGCGTATCATTTTTTTGAACAATGGAATCCAGAAAAGGGAAAGAGGGGGTTAAGTGCTAAATTTTTCTTTTCTGGGATTCAGGCAGATTTGTGGCATCCTCCACAAAGAAGGGTTGTTCTATACCCCATAGATTCAGCAGTTATTTTATCTACTTAAAGACTCCTGCAAGCTTCACACAAAAAACCATCTCCTCATACACAACCTTTTTTTCAATCAGAATATAAAGGAAGCGCCCAATGATAGAGGTGTACTTCTGCTAAGACCACCAACCATTAATAAAAACAGAGGACAGATAATTAAAGAACAAAAAGATTTCAGGTTAGACTCACGATTCTTCCAAATCGATGACTTTAATAGCAACCACTTTGTTGAGCTCTTTATCAAACCTGCAAATGAAAACTGTATTAGGGTTGCTCTGTCTGCACATAGATCTTTGTGTTATGATGATAAACTGATCTCTTATACCATAGCGAAAAAACATTTACAAAACATTTGTGTATGAGAATACTGTATAACTCCATCTCTACAATTCAAATAATGGCTCCTACTTCGTCAAAAATCCTACTTTTCATATTTACAAAAATGGTTCTCAGTTATATGGGTTTTCTTCCTTCTTGTCCTAAAACTTGGAGAGCTTGTTCTCATTATGCCTACATATGCTACTTGGAGCACAATGGAGCTGCTTTTGGTTCCACTTTGAACACACAAGTATGCATTCTAGATGTGATGTGAATATCACACTACAACCTTTAATTCTCCCCTGCCCGTGCATCTTATTGATTTCTAACTACAAGTGAAAAATACTCTTTTCATTTTATGGGTCTGAGTAGACCTTCTTCCAATTGTTGAATTGAGGAGCGGAAAAAGGAAATGAAAGCGAAAGTGTTTCCTAAGTGAATGAAAATATAAAGTAATGCATCTCATTCCCTTTTATGCTCATTGAATTTTTAAGAATCTATCCTCTTATACAAGGAAGCTCACGTACTCATTCCACTTAACTCTGGAGAAAAAACAATGTCCTCACAAGATAGAATTGTAGTGTGTTTCACCAGTATCTAAATCCATTGTGGTTCACTAAAACACAAAGGCCACCACTTAGCATTTGATTTAGCAACATGTGATACAGCAAGGGTTATATTATTATAGACTTGATCCCGAGTGTGGAGGACTTGAGGTTGCTGTGGCTATAGCATTCAAAGTTACTCCTAATTTGTTTGCAGCACTGCTTTGTAGTTTACATTGTGATAAGGTCAATTGGGAAATTCATCACCCTCTTTTTGTTTGTATAACGATAGTCTATTGTAGGTATGAAATTCTAAAATAGTGGCTTGTATAACATATCATATATTGTTTCCAAGTAAAAAAGTAATTGATGATCTTAGCTAATCTGAAATTTAGAAAGGCTAGAAGAAAAAAGGAAATTGCCAAAAAAAAAAATTGCAAGTACAAGCAAACTTTCTTTGTGTGTGTTTTATATTTATTTATTTATTTTGGGGGGTGGGGGTTTTGAAAATAAGATGGAAAAAAACCATTAAATGGGTAATGGCCAAAAAAGCGTTTGAATTACAAAGGGAAAAAAATGGCTAACCTTTTTTGTCAGTTGAAGATCACTCCCTTGTTTGAATCCTTGTTCTAAATGTTAAAAGATAGCTTTTTATAAGTAAAATGTTATCAAGATTCTTTTATCTAAATGATAGGAAAGATCATAACAAGAAAGTATAGTACCTGTAATTTTTGATATTTGTTCACCAAGACCAAGCCTACTTGCTAACCTAACCCACTTCAATCCTTAGACTTGAGCTTGATTTAGCCACCAACGTGGTCATCTCCCCTAAGGCCCTAATTTACAAACTGCATGTGTCCTTTTTCAAATGCCAGACATAACTTAAACTTTCTTTTTCTAGGAGGTTGACTTCTCAAGAATTATTCACTTTAACTTTATCCTTTTCTTGGTCAATATTCACTTATTTAATCCTCATCTTAGTACTCCCAAAATTTTGAGTTTTGAGTCTTGAGTATCCAACTGTTTAGAAAAACAAAACATAGATGGCACTCTAAAATAAGTAACTTAAACTTACATGACACTTCAAAGGTACTCCAATTTATCTATCCGACTCAAACTAGGATTGAATCTTCCTCAATCTAGCCGTCCTTGTAGCTAGTCAACCCATAGTTAGAGTACTCACTTTAACTAGCCATTAATTTTCACCATACTTTCTTTTTGACAAAGGTTACAATCTATATATGTGACCATAGTCCTTAACCCAACACCATAGGTCTATCAAAAAATGAACCACCCTTTTATTAATGGATTGAAATGATAGCACCTATAAACATTAGGCTCTAGAGGACAACATTTAGAGTATGTTGAATTCATTACAACTATCAGTAATAAAAGTTCAAAACCTAGTTTTGTATGTCAATGGAGAGATCTGAGTCTGATGATAGACTTCATGGATAAGATGCTTCCTCCGAGTAAATATCTAAAGGTGAAAGTTGGGCTCACTTGAACACCAAATCACTTGGCATCAAAGTTGTTTAATTCACTGACAAGGACATGGATTGTCGTCATCCCAGGACTAAAAAAAGGTCCAATGGTTGCCTCTGCAACATAACCTGAACAGTAGACATGCAAGAGTAGTATAGAATGATTGGTTTTTGTTGTTAAGTAAACCAACTCAATCTGAGTTGTGGGTGGACCACCTACTTATATATTTCAACGCACTAATATGCTCTGGCATGTTATCCAGTGTCATGTCATCATTCATGCGATGCTCTAAGTTATTGGAAGATGAATAACTGATATAAGAGATCTGCACTGCCACGGAATTCTTGTAAATGAGAGTAAATGAACTGCGTTCTTTGGAAACTTGGGGCTACCACTTCAAAGTGGAAAAAACCTTCCACTTATTTTTTTTAATAGATAATTTAACCACTAAAGCACCAAAAGCACAGTGTGGGCGTTGGGGCCTGTTAGGGGGCTCATTTCATTTACCATTGCATTGTCATCTCAATTTCCACAAAACAATAATTTCGACTTAATTTTCATTCGAACTTGTATCCGACATTTATCCCTGTTGGTTGAGCATAAGATTTCACAAAACTAACAGCTCAGAGGATATTTTCCATAAAACCAAAATTACTAATGTTGTGTCCACTTTCACATCCCAGTCAACACATTTGACTCAACTAAATAGACATCAGTCAGATGATTATCATATTTGAAAAACCAATAAGAATCCCGTGCCTGTTCTCAGCGTAAGTGACATATCAAGAAATGTGTTTAGAGTGGTGTACAACCCATTAGTACTGTAATGTTCACTCAGTAGCATCCTGTTAAACCAAAATGTGATGAATCAATACATTGTAGTGGAGACATATATTCTACAAAGGTAAAATTCCAACACTTACCCTTTATAGACATCTCCAAACGACCCTCTTCCGATCAACTCCAAGTCATTAAATCTGGATCCCGACGCCTCCACAAGAGCTGCAGCATCGGCCATGTTTAGATGAAAACCCTTTCTTCACACCCTTCCAGTATGCAAACCAAATTCAACAATCAAACCAAGACATTAACATATCCAATTTAGCAATCCCTACATTCTTCAACTTCCATCTCAATCTCAAGTCCCCAAATTTGAATGTTCAGAAAATAGGTTGGAAAATCAAATCTGAAACGTCATTATAGAAACATCACCAATCGATATGAGTTCCTGAACGTAAGTACATAGATAACAAGCAAACTGAAGGCAAAATTGAGATCTGGGATATCTAAAAAGTGCAAAAAAATTCAAAAGCGTAATGCGGGAAAGCTCAAAGACTGAAAGAAAAAGGAATCGGGCTTGCGAATTGTAGTTACAAGATTGGTTAGGTAAAGTGGTGGGCAACACTAAAGTGACAACATAACCATTTGGGGACGCGTTTCAATGCCACTGATTTCAACTTGACACAACAAAACGAAAGTTAAACAACGAAACCACAATGTCGTCAATGTCGAATTTCTAAAACAGTGTTTCAAAATTTACCTGTAAAATCCAAAATTTCTGAGGCAAAAAGGCTAGTTTTATGGCAGATTTTGAAGCTGCTCATATACAAATGACTGATCAAGCAAAAGTGTGTCAACAATCAATAGATTTCTTTCTTTTTCTCTCTTCTATCTAATCTATTGCGGGCCTCTCTGCTGAGGGTTTTGCTTGCAGTTTCAGGTTAGATGGGATCGAGAAGAGAAAGCCGTACAAGTGTTGGGTGCTTGCTCTGTTTCGGTGTGGGGACAGAAAAAATTAAGTGGATCGGGTAATTGGACCAGGGACTTTTCGGGTAAGAAATAATTGGAGGCATTCCAAAGTTGGAAATTTATTTTTAGAGAAAATTTCAGCCACACCCATCTTAGTTTATTATATTTTCAAGGATATCTGGTCTATTATCAAAAATATTACTGACACCCCTTTTAGTTTATATTTAAACATCACTAACACCCCTTACCATTAAACTACCATTTCTAAAAACAAATTTATCTAAAATACCAAAAATGTCTCTAGATAAACCTCAAGTAATTTTTCTACATAAAATTTTATTAAAATTCAAGCCGATTAAAACTTATTTTTCTACATATTAAAATTTGAACCAATTAAAATTCGATTGAAACTGATTAAATTTTATTTTTTTTAAGGTATTAAAATTCGAGTTCAAATTTATTTTTTACGTATTAAAATTTGAGCCGATTTGAACTTTTCTCGAGTTATTAGCGCCGATTAAAATTCGCTTTCAAGTCCATTAAAATTTATATTTTTTATTTTTTAAGATTTGTGTCAATTAAAATTCAATTTATTAAAATTTTAGTCAATTAAAATTTATATTTTTTTATGTATTAAAATTCAATGCGAGTGAATTAAAATTTGATTTGAGTCGATTAAAAATAATTTTTAATTTGCTCAAATAGAATATTAATTAGCCCAAATTTTAATACGTAAAAAATATAATTTTTAATCAAATCAAATATTAATATGTAAAAAAATAAATTTTAATTAACTTGAATCGAATTTTAATCGATCCAAATTTTAATACATAAAAAAAATTACAAAATTAAGGGGATCTCATGGAAGATATGCTTATTTAGAGGGGTGTGAATGAAGTTTGTCTTCAGATATATCATGGGTAATTTAGTAAAATTATATTCTAGTTAATGTTTTTAATCAGACATGAAGTGTCAGTGACAATTCAGAAAATTGATGAGTTATCCATGAAGATATGATAAACTAGGGGGGTGTAGTTGAGATTTTTCCTTATTTTAATTCAAAAAGTCATATCCCCATGTAAAACACTTTTTTTTTTAATTCTAGTAGAAAGATTAAATGTAAATAAGTTGGTTATTGTAATTAAAAAATTAAAATTTAAGTCCTAATATAAGTCGTTGAATTTACATGATTTAGATTATTTTTTATATTTTGTATAAATTGACAAAAAGGTTAAATGTAAATAACCAGAGTTAGTGTAATTTTTAAATTATAATATAACTCGTCGGACCTAAATGATTTGAACAATTATTATATTTTGTATAAGTAGAACTAGTATATGTTAAACACAATAATCTATATAAACAAACTGAATTTATCTATTTTTACTAGAACTAAACTTAGACACATCACACTTAAGTAGGAGGAGGAAAAAATGTAGGTCATGCCTTCAAAGATGCGTAAGGCTAGTGGTGGTCCATCAAGCATTGATAACTACACATCCAATAACTATTATATTGGATGAACGAGCGGGAGTTCATTAGATTTGTGTTGGCATTTATACGTGACTAGTTGATGTACACGTGTATTACACGTGAATTATTTTAAATAATAAATAACATATATCATTCTCCTACAAATAATCAAATATGATATTAGCAAAAAAAATTTAATATGCGTCTTGCACTGAATCGAACTAGAGGAACAAGATGGGTGCTGCATAAGTTGTGATCAACTTTATTCAATTCAATGCATAAAGTTCATATTTTACGGTTAAACTCATTACAAAATCTACTTAAAATAGTTAATATTTGTCTTTTAACACAATAAACTAACATTTCTTATTGTTGTTGTCTTAACACAATAGACATGATCATGTCATGGGTCTTTCTTGTTCGTTTATTCAAGTCTTTCTTTATGACTTCACATGAGTAAAGCATGTAAATCAAGTTTCCAAAAATATATATAAAAAAAAACTTAAAACAAAGCTAAAATTAGAGTGAATATAAATAGCTAACAATTAGAGAAATTCATTTTGATTATTACACGAATAACAAAAAATCATCAAAAGATTAATGATAGGCAATGAAAATCATAATACATATTACAAATTAAAAATTGGTACTCGGTAATCATGTGTGTGTGTGTGAGTCAGAGAGAGATTGCCTCTTAGAGGTAACATTTGGAATTTTAGAATGAACTTCTTGAGAGGCTAAACACTTTTTTTTTTCTCTTTTTTGTTGCTTGCCGCCTCTGTCGAAGCAATTAAAGCATCCTATCTCTCTCTTCAGTATATGTAAAGCTTAAACATGAAAAAATAAAACAACATTATAAAAGTAACTTTGTGACTCTAGAGTCGCCATAAGTAAGAGAAATAGTTAGAGACTTTTACAGTTACATGAGTATGAATTTCTATTTAATCAAAATAAATTTTAATTTATGTCTGAAAAATATAAATTGTATTTGATATTTTAAATATAGATTTGTTGAATGCGTATGAATATTTCTGTGTATAATTCATATAGTCACTTCGTGATCATTTAAAATCATTATATCATAATTTTAAGAGTCTAATTATGAAATTACGGTAGTTATTAGGTAAATAAAAATTTTGACTTTAAAATATTAAAATATGGTAAAATAGAAGAATAATTTTTTTTCAAGATAGTTGGCATGTATATATAGTATATATAGATAAATTATAAGATTAGGATAATTGTATAGTATTGATATTTATTTTTTTTAGGACTATACAACAAAATATAATATTGAAAAATTAAGTCATATTTTTTTTAGGTGGTTGAAATCAATTTAGGATTGAGCTTAACATTTTTTAGGATTGAGCTTAACATTTAGGATCAATACTTATTAAATATTTGTAAAAAATATATAACTTGAGATCTGAAGTTTTATTTTTTTAGGATCAATTAAAATGTTATGATGTATTTTTCTTTGGTAGAATTTGTATCCAAAAAAATATAATTTAATACACAAATTTATAGTTTTTGATACGGTACTTCATCTAATATTGTCTTCTTATACATAATAAAATTTGTTCAAGGGCAATTTGAATGATTAACTATAGAAAAATATAAAAGTAATTTGAATAGTTAATTATAAATGGATACAAGAGCCTTTAAACTATTTTATAAGGACAAAATAGTCAATCAAAAAATTTTCATGTTAAGGTACTTTTATTAATGATAATAATATAGATTAGTGATACCATGTGTCGACAATAACGTGTTATCATCGTTGCAGTTAAAATTTACGAGCAGCACTAATTGACTACACCTAAACTCCTACGATGGGAGTGGGAATATTAGGCTTTTCTGCTCATACATTCATATCTCTAATTAACAAGGTGGATGTACACGAGACAACCGGTCAACTTGAACTAATCAATTTTTGTAACTAAGAAACAAAAGTCGCCTAGGGTACATGGTTGTCATGGTTACATGCTTATTTCGTGAGTTGAATTTGTAATACCTATATTACAATTAGACAACCTTATCAATGTACAACATTGATAAACTTTTATAATATAGGTTAACATAGCATACACAAGCTATTGGTTACTAGACCCACATCCATGCTCAATAACTTACATCTATGAAGCATCCCTGATGACATCCTTCTCAAAGAGATGAACAATCCATGAATAGGAAGAAGGGGAAAAGGGGGGGGGGGGGGGGGGG